AGCTGCGGTGAAACACTGAAAAGCACGCGTCTGACTGGAAATATTATTTGACAAAGGACATTCAGTGGAGCAGGTTTATCTTGATATCCTGTAAAAATATCTGAAAACAAAAAAGTAGCACAGTCCCCTGAAATATCGGGAAAGAAGAAAGTTGTTGAGAGTGTGATTGTTCTTTTCATGCTGTCCAACTCATTACCAACAGTAGTCAGTCTGTCTCCGTCATCACTGCTGCCCAGATGGCTCTCCAATCTGCCCCATGTAAGGAGTGAATCATCATAATTACACATAATCTGCTGTTTAACACATGGCGTTTTGCTTCAATTTTTAAAAATTATACACTACAGTAATACATAAATCAAGCTCTTCCTTTGTTAGATCCTAAAGTGACACAGAGATTGTGAGCTATCATGCGGTCAGATAGAATTCAGCGTTGTTCATCTTTAAACCACAATCCTTCATCAGTCACATCCATGTTTGCATATTGTGATACCCAGTCTCCCACTCTTTGGGGAGGTAAGGACTGTAGATACTTCTCTCCAATTATTCCCAGTGTCATTGGAGAAGCCCCCAACACCACTCGAGTGTCTTGTCTCTGCTCCGTGGTCTTTAATCTTAATTATAAAGCTATCATTACAGCATGAACCCTGGGCTGCCAACAGTGGAGCCCTGGGCTCATCTGCTCTGAATCAATCAAACTAAGTTCTGCACTGGAGGACTTTTCCTCTTTTTTCAGTCGGGTCATTTTGTTTCTGCCTTATCTAATTTTCATGATTATGCTTGTCCCTTCTCTAATGTAGTGAGAATGCTCTACCTCCAGAAGCTTCACATGGTCCAGTCTGAATATTCAAACTGCGTTACAACCTTGAACATCTGACCTCGCTTCAGAACTTTGTGACGGTGACGAATCCAGAAAAAAGATCAGAATGTGTTCCCTGCAGTGATTGTTAACGAAGGCCTGTTAATAGAGGAGGATGAGACATGAACAAAATAACTCCTTCGGTGTATTGTTTATGAGAAGGTGTTGGATATGGAGTTATGTGTCTGCGGAACGCCCTCATTCACACTCAAATTGTCAGCCTCTGCGCTAAATCAACGCTGTAAAATTGGATGAGTGAGAGAAAGTTGGCAGTAGTCAATGACAAATTCTCTGAAACGCAGCTGACATCTTAAAGCTGTGGAAAGTGGAGCGATCAAAGACGCTCAGCGCTCCATTGAGAAGTAGCTGCAGTGTGTGTTTGTTGGCGGCTGATAGAGAAGGTTTATATAGTCAGACGGAAATTAAAATGAAAAAAATGTCCCTGTGTGTTTGTTTATGTTGTGATAATTCACAATGATAATGATTGTGTTGCAGTGATCACAGCTAATATCCAAACTACTACATTTACAGATCAGTCCTGCTATGGAGACGCCTGGCGTCCAGAGTTCTACGGAGGTTTAAAGCCTAAAAAGCTTGCTTGCCCCGTTTCTGTTAATAAAATTCCAGGGCTGTGTTTTAGTCTGTAGGGGCAGAAATTGAGGTGTTTGGAATCAATGATGTTAAAATTCACATAGATTGGGTCTTTATGGTCATGATGAAGACTTTGTTGATTTGTCCTGCTCCTATCACATCATCCTTTTTCTTGCAGGAAAACAACCGGCAGAAGCCCCGGCTGCCACTCTAGTACCCATTTACAAGCATTGCTGACCCTGTTGTATTGGTGAACAGCTTACATGCATAAGACACAATCCTATTTGTTTGCATACTCTTTTTGTAGCCTAGCTCTCTCTGCAACTTACAACTGAATGCTACTTGTTAACATCGGCACACAAATGCCCAGTGTGCATGAGCATGTGAGTCACATGACAAGGTTTGTTAGTTTGGATGGGGTTTAAAACTGATAAGGGCCTAAACGCTTGTGTGCACAGAGTTTTAGTTTGAAAATGCCATTTTGGATAGTATGGATGTAGCCTTAAAATGCTGCAGAATAAATGCACCGTGGAAGCAGACAATGTGTCCCAGAGAAATGCCAGCTCTCAAATGTCAGTCAGCTGCTGCCTAGGGAAACGTCCTCCCAGAGGCCTGAGGCTGAGTTTCTACAGATATGTCCAGAAACGCTTTTGTCTTCTTTAGAAAAGTGAGAATCTATGTACGCACAATGGCTTAAGTATCATTGCATTTTCAGTTTCCTTTTACACTCCATGAGAATGTTTATGATATCTGTGAGAGTCAGAAAAATCAGAAATGGTTTGTTCTGCAGCCTTTGGTGTGAGACTTTTACTAATGACTGGATGAAGTCATTAAAAGTGCAACATAAGTAGTTCGTTTTTGAAAATATGCATAATTCTGTATTAGCAGCACCAATCATCTTTAGGATTCTAGTCATAATACATGAACGTTTCAATATCCAAGTACAGTTTAACAGATAAGTCTGTGAACTTGTGAACTTTGAGTCGACGGTGGAAAAACTCAAATAAAATCCAACACAAAGAAAACCTGCAAGTCACATCATTCATCATTAAAGACGATGAAACAGATCAAAGAGCCGATGAACAGCTTTTCAAATCTGAACAGGTGCTGCAGGTATGGTATAGCTTCCCACTGTCCATGCCATGAGTACAAAGGGAAAAGAGCCTGACAAGTGAGCATATGACAGAAGATTATGTCGAGTTCATGGGTCAGATTTCTTTAATGCCCAAACCTTTGAAATACCTTTTTTATTGCTGTCTGAGAGAAAGCGAATGCCTCACTTTAATGCCATAGAACGGAGGTCTTCATCGGCTTTAAAATATGCAAAGAAGAACATGCTAACATTAACCACTGCCTACATTATTTATCCTCTTGAAAAGTGTTTTATCAGCACTCGGCCTGCTTTACTTCACTTTTAAATATTCAAATTAGGGCAAAACTGAAATGTCTACCATGCAAAATGACTCTTTTACATTTCAAAATTAAGCTCACAGTTCTCTCATGTTTGCTTTAAGATGGCTCCGTTTATTGCAATTTCTGCAAAGTTGTGATTTTTAAAGAAATTGCCGAGGGCTTAGCTATCCACAATGATCAATATTTTTCCCATGTGGCTCACATTTAATGAGGAGGCGATGAGTGTTCAACTTATACACACAATGGCTCCTATGACATGCTCAGTTTTGACCGAAGACAAGCTTTACATGAATGGATGGATGGATGGATAGATGATCCTTCTTGTATAGTGCTTAATCAGAATACTGTAAACTATTGTAAGGTCCAACTGATGTTAAATGGCAAAAAAGTCTCTTTTTAGCACTGTTATATCAAAACATGGTTGAACTGTGATAAAATCATGTGAATTTCCAAGATTGCAATGTGATGCTACGTGCACATCACAAATTTACTTCCACTTTGAGGAATCACTTTAGAGAATCTTTGTCAGACGTTCGAGTGAACTTTGGTTGTAAGAGTAGTAAAAGCAGTGAATCTTTACATGTAAAAAGAAACATGGTGTTCACAGGAACGCCACAAGGTCATAAACAAACTAAATTATTCTCTCACAAGTTACTTTGTGTCCATTTATTCGTTATTGCTGGTTGATTCGTCCCCTGATGTGGACATTATTTACATGGCAGGTGGTTTAAGAGTGAGAGGGAAAAGCTTTTACTGTGGTTTACATTGGCCATGTATCATTGGCCTTCCTACAATCTTAAAAGCCGTTCCTTGCTTTTTAGCGCCCCCCCCACCCCCAGCTTTTTATTCCCTAACACCCATCACAAATTTGGTCTGGTATGTGACTGCTAATTTATCCTTTCAATGTATGATATCCTGTCATCTCCTCATTTGTCCCTGAGTGTTTCTAATCTGAGATAATCCCAGTCAAATCCTTTGATTGTGTGTTTGGACCTGATCCATCTCTGAAGAAGCAATTTAATGGGCTTCATGGCACTTGGTGTAAAGTCATTTATCTAGTGGATTGGATGTGAATGCTTGTTTTAATAAGTGCTCTTCATGAATAGTAGGAGACGTGCCATTTAATTATACAGAGTAGACCTATTCCATCCCCACAACTTCTCCAAGGTTTTTTTTTTATATTTGGAGCAGAGTGGTTTGATTTAAAAAAAGAGAGTATGGGACTTTAGCTGTGTGAAGAAAAGCCTGTGAGATGTTGCAGTTTTGAAAGAGTGGTATAAAACCATGTAAACACTGACATTGAAAGGAACATTAACCAAAAAAAAAACTTTTGACACTTAACACATGTTAACATATAGCAACCAATCATGTTGCAAAATCATGT